GGGCTGCCTCACTGACCTCTGCCACCAACCCCTCCCCTGCTGTTTCACCACTGCCTCCCTCCACTGGGGCTCCCTCATCTCCCCCAGCTTCCCCCTCCACAGCACCTCCCCCATTATGCACCCCACTCTGATATCTCCCCTTCCTGGGTACCTCCAGCCCCTCATGCTGATACCCCCACCGCCTCATCTCTCTCTCTGCTTGAATCCCCAGCAACACTATCCTGCATGGCCCAAAGGGTCTCTCCATAACACCAGATGCTTTTCCTTGCTCCCTCTGCCCCCGTTGGCCCCAAAGCCCATGGCCCCCAAAAGAGCTTCTCCTAATCTCAGGTGCCCCTTCACCTAGGACATCCCCGAACCACTAAGATGATGACTTCTTGCTCCACAACCTAAAAGAATGCTCGTAAACACATTACGCAGCCATGCAGTAGAATACATTGTTAAAGCATTGGCACTGTTCAAGTAGATTATTTATAGTGCAAATAAAAACCTTAAAACTTGTTTACATATGTTGCACCCATTTTTATCACAAACGGGTAAATTGAAGCACTGTTCCCAGACTGAAATATGAGTTTTTCTCCGACATTAGCAAGGACAGGCCAACATTTGGAAATAATGCCTTCAGCAGTAGCAGGGAGTATAAAACTATTCTCAAAAGCAAATGCATTTCTTTGCAATCGATTCCGGTTTTCCAAAATAAATGCTTTGCTTTAAAGTGGGAATGCACGTATCTGTAATTGGGAATGCACGTATCTGTAATTCTCTCTTCCCTACAGTGTGTAAACACCATTTTTTAAAACCCCCACTCTTCACATGCTTAATTTGTAAGCATGCAAGTTACATGCTTCAAATTAAGCATGTGCTTAAGTGTTTGCAGGATCGAGGTCTAAATGACAACCAGAGACTAAAGTAAAATCCACCCAACTTGGTTTTACTCCAGTTCTACTTCCTACCCTTTACTGCGACTATACAAGAATTGCTGCTTCTTCTGGTGAAACGCGTGCTTTGACACTTCCATCAGAGTCTTAAAAAAGACTCCAATCAAGGTAAATGGGAATCTTCTGTTTAATAAAATCAAAGCCTTCCTGATAAATTTCTTTGCCAAATTCATTTGTCCCATGTTATAACCGACCTGCAGAGGGGAAGCGAGAGTGAGACAAAGACCGTTTGTTATCAGTCAACTGCATGTTCCGAAATGGTGGGGCTCTCAGCTGCCATTTTCTAGCATGACATCAATGCTGGAGCCAAGGGCAGAGGTGGGGAGTAGAGAGTGGGTTGGGTTAAACCTCATTGAAACTGTTGTGTCCTCCACTCCTCATTTAAGATAGCTGTGAGAGACAAATCAGTGGCCTCACCTAAGGCAAATGGGGCATGCGAGCCCATCCAGTAGTTTGGACTTTTAGTTTCGGATGAGGTTGTATGGACATAGGAGGGAGACACAGGAAACCTGCAATCATCTTCCATAGATGGCCCCAACCAGATACATGAAGAGGTTCCTCAATGTCTTGCTGTCTCCTTACCTCACCCTTCAGGCTGTAGAAGGTAGCTTCCTCAAACTGGTTAATTACAGTCGCTCTGAAGTCCACCGATTTGATCAGATTCTCTGCTGTATTCAAATTGCAAAAGGCCTTAAGCAAAGCAAACCACAGAGAAGGGTAGGTGACCATCTGTGCCGCACACTTTCTCCAACCCCACCACCAGCTGAAGAGAAACGGCTGGATTCTCTGGTCTGCTACGGCCACTGGAAGCAGCAGGAGATGGCCAGTGGAGAATCCCCTCTGCACAGGTGGAGGCAGCAATGTGTCTCCTGCTCCCCTCCTCCCACACCCCGTGGCAGAGGAAGGAGGGAGTGTTCTGAGGGCAAGGTGTGAGCAGAATGGGGTCATGGCAAAGCTTTATGCCTGATCTTCTACTGGTGGAAGCCTAAGCTAGGGTTGCCCTCATGCACCTATCGCACGCCAGGGCAACATGGCACTGAATCACGGAGCTGCGGCTGTGCATCCCGTCTCTTCGCCACCCTAGCTGTGCTCACACAGGGGTGAATCAAGCCACAAAGCAAAGGGAGCTCTCATCACTCTGTCTAGGACAGCAACATTGCTTTCTTTCCCCTTGGAGTAACCCAGGAGCTGCCTGCAGAGCTGGGACATAATGCCCATGGGTTTCTTTGGCTGAATGTATGGAGGAAATGTAGTACTGAAGGACTGATGGCACTGAGTCCCAGTCACCCTTCAACCCCCCCCTCGCCCCCCACACAGCCCTGCCAATGTACCTTATTCCTGACCTGCGTACTGCCTCCTCCAGGCTATTCCAGTTGTGGGCACCTTCCACAGCTCGGTAACATACTCTAATTCTGACTAGAAGCACCCTATCTCTCCCATGAGCTCTCCATGGTAGAGATTGCTAATTCATATGATGATTTTTGTCATATGACTAAATGTCACCCAGAGACTACGATGGGCCTCCCAAAATCATGTCCCTAATGATCTCCTTATCCTCCCCACCCCCACCCCCTGTGCCCCAGCCTCTAGAGGACTGGGGCTAGTGCCCTAAACCACGCCTTTAAACACTCCTCACTC